AGATATTATTTATTTTTTGTATTTTAAAACTTTCATTAAGAATGTTCCTAGTTTGATGCAAGTATGTACATACTAAAACGGGGTTTTTTTTCCTTCAGAAACACACTATTATTGGTGAGCATACTGACAGATTTATTAATAAATCAAGTAAATCCTTTGATTAAGCAACTAAAATGTCTATCTGAGAGAAAACCTTCAGATATATTAGCTCAAGCAGAAATAAATCTCTGCCACAGTCTCATTCCACTCTAGATGAATTGAAGAAGTGAGAGTTTTTGTGTGCTTTATGATGAATTATTTCCTATAAACCCAAAAACCCTCATGACAATTTTTGATAGTGTATTTTATCCTATGATAAAGGAATGCAAATAGGAAAAATAGGATTATATTCATAAGCAAGGGCACCTATATCAATATTTTCTGACATGCAGAAACACTAAAATGCAGGAAAATAATAACTGAGGGCACTCCCTTTCAATGGACTATCCTAACCATACATCTTATGTGACATACAAATGCAGTCTCTAATCCTTAATTCTAGAATATCTTTCTCTCTCTCTCCCTACCTTCCCAGTAACAAAACCACCATATTATAACTGTGGAATAATACAATATTCTCTTTCTTTATGCTTTAAGCAGTCCAAATGTTAAAGATAAGAAAATAAGAAAATATTGATATTCCACATGAAATCTGAATATCAGTTAAAAACAAAATCAGAACATTAGAGGCAAAAAGAGAAAAACAAACAGATGAATGGAAAAAATCATACCTCTGAACTTTTAAAATAAATCTCAGATATGAATTTTTTTAAAAAAAAATAACTTGGCTTAACTATGACAGAAACATCCATGTATAATTTAATCAAGAGACAAAAGCCTTGGCATATATTACAAAATGATGTACGACTACAAGAAAGAATGAAAAAAAATTACTTACAATGTACTGTAATTGTTGTGGAATCTATCAAACTTTCATCAGTCAGAGAACATCTGTATTTGCCTGTTGCATTTCTTCTTACATCAGTCAACACATGAAAACTGGAACTTCGAATTGGTCCCAGCTCTCCCTTTTAAAAAAATGTTAAATAAAAGTTTTCAATACAGTAAAATAAGATTTTGTGTATAGCTTCTACAGAAGTTTACTTATGTTTTCAGGGTTTTTTTGTACTATTGTTTCTTGCTTCAGCCTTCTTGATAAATTTTATATAAACTTGATGATACCACATAGTGAACTAGTGTATACTGTTGTAGTGTACACATTTTAAAAATAAAACTGAATGAAATTTAGAGGAAAAAAACAAAAAAAATAACCGGGAAGGTAGGAATGGAAAGATGTGAGGCTGATTAACAGAATAGTGTGAGAAAGGGATCCTCTTGTCTAAACCAAATTGCGTCTTTCCCAAATTTAAGAGGTTTTACAGATAAGCAATACTTACTGGGATGAAAAATAAGAACTCTTGAGGTGGAGGATTACCATTTCCTGAACATTTTAGGGTAATGTTATCACCTTCCTTTATTGTTTTCCTTTGTGAAAGAATCTCAATCTGAACCTTTTCAGTGGGATCTGTAAAGCAACATAAATTGGTTAATAATCTGACTTTTGCAAATACATAAGATAGGTAAAATAAACATGTATGAATCAAAGGCAGTGAAGCTCTATAAATCAAGAACTTTATGCCAAATAAAAGTGCTAGGGCTAGCCTGGGGTTGTCTTGACAAAAAATCGGGTTGTCTTAGCTGGCAAATCACCAGTGTGACAATCTTGATTCAGAGCTTCTACTCTTCCTCTCCAAATGGTGCTCTCAAGACTTATGTCACCTTCCCATTTAGTAATTGCATAATCAGCATATAGCAATAGCAATTAGACTTACATACCGTTCCATAGTGCTGTAGAGCACTCTCTGAGTGTTTACAAATGTCAGCATATTGCTTCCAAGAAGGAAGGCTGAGTCAGTCTGCAGCCAATCAGGATTGAATTCCTGACTGTGGGCAGAGCTAGCCTGCAATACTGCATTCTAACCACTGACCATCACTGCTCATATATGTGAAACATGACTGTAAAAAGGGGGTCTCCAAATTTGTATAGTAATAGTAGTAAAGTTGGAAGGGACCTTGGAGGTCATCTAGTCCAACCCCCTGCTCGGGCAGGAAACCCTACACCATTTCGGACAAATGGCTGTCCAGTCTCTTCTTAAAAACTTCCAGTGTTGGAGCATTTACTGCTTCTGGCGGCAAGCTGTTCCACTGATTAATTGTTCTCACTGTCAGGAAGTTTCTCCTTAGTTCTAGGTTGCTTCTCTCCTTGATTAGTTTCCACCCGTTGCTTCTTGTCCTGCCTTCAGGTGCTTTGGAAAATAGCTTAATTCCCCCTTCTTTATGGCAGCCCCTGAGATATTGGAATACTGCTATCATGTCCCCCCTTGTCCTTCTCTTCGTTAAACTAGACATACCCAATTCTCGCAACCGTTCCTTATATGTTCTAGCCTCCAGTCCCCTAATCATCTTTGTTGCTCTTCTCTGTACTCTTTCTAGAGTCTCAACATCTTTTTTACATCGTGGTGACCAAAACTGGATGCAGTATTCCAAGTGTGGCCTTACCAAGGCATTGAAGAGTGGTATTAATACTTCACGTGATCTTGATTCTATCCCTCGGTTAATGCAGCCTAGCACTGTGTTGGCCTTTTTGGCAGCTGCAGCACACTGCTGGCTCATATTTAAGTGATTGTCTACTAGGACTCCGAGGTCCCTCTCACAGTTACTACTATTGAGCATGGTGCCACCTATGCTGTACTTGTGCATTTGGTTTTTCTTGCCTAAATGTAGAACCTTGCTTTTTTCACCATTGAATTTCATTTTGTTAGTTAGTGCCCAGTGTTCCAGTCTGTCCAGATCCTTCTGTACCTGAAGCCTGTCTTCTGGAGTGTTGGCTATTCCTGCCAGCTTGGTGTCATCTGCAAATTTGATGAGTTCCCCATCTATCCCTTCATCCAAATCGTTGATGAAGATGTTGAAGAGTACTGGGCCCAGAACAGAGCCCTGGGGCACCCCACTACACACTTCCCTCCCTATAGATGCAGTTCCACTGAGGACCACTCGCTGAGTACGGCCGGTCAGCCAGCTACGGATCCATCTGGTGGTGGTTCTGTCTACCCCACATTTTTCTATCTTGTCAAGTAGTAGGTTGTGACCTACTTTATCAAATGCCTTACTGAAGTCCAAGTAAATTATGTCCACAGCATTCCTCTGATCCACTAATTTTGTCACTTGGTCAAAGAAGGCAATAAGATTTGTCTGGCATGATCTATTTTTGACAAACCCATGTTGGCTTTTAGTAATGACTTTGTTTGCCTCTAGGTGTTCGTTGATTCGTTGTTTGATTATCTTTTCCAGGATCTTCCCAGGTAGTGAGGTCAGGCTGATAGGTCTGTAATTTCCTGGATCCATTTTTTTTCCTTTTTTGAGGATGGGAACTACATCAGCTCTTTTCCAGTCCTCTGGTAGTTCCCCTGTGTTCCAGGATCTTTGAAAAATATAGTTCAGTGGCTCCGATATCACATCTGCCAGTTCCTTCAAGATTTGTATCTCTGTAGATTCTCAATCACCCAGGTCATGGTTATCCCAAAGGTGCTTTTCAAAAGGCAACTGGACTTTCTTGGTTTTTTTTTTTCCTTTGAAGATGTTTTGCTTCTCCAGTTCTTCATCTTCCAGAATTCCCCAGCCAGCATGGTTTGCTGAGGAATTCTAGGAGTTAAAGTTCACAAGTTTTAAAGTTGCCAAGTTTGAAGACCCCTACTGTAAAACCTTACTGCAGTTCAGAATTTTGGAATGAAAGACTTAAATAATCAGTCTCTCTCTCCCTCCCTCTCTCTCTCTCTCTCTGTGTGTGTGTGTGTGTGTGTGCATGCGTGCCTTTGAGCAAGTGTTTACTCTGCCCACTGCTTAGACATGTTCCTGCAGTTTTCTTGACAAAATTTTTAGAAGTGGTTTGTCATTGCCTCCTGCCTAGGGAGGATAGAAATGATTAGACCAAGATTGCCCAACTTGGTTTCATGCCTAAGGCAGGGTTAGTTCTCACAGTTTTCTGGTTTCTAATGAGTGTCTTAACCATTAGATTAAAGACACTGAAGCTAAAATATATAAAATAAAGTATATATATATATATATATATATATATATATATATATATATATATATATATATATATATATATATATATAAAAATATAAATAAAACCCTGGTGCAGCATATTTTGCCTGAAGGTACATCTTCAAAAAAGAAATCAAATAAATCACATTATAAGTTAATCTCCTCTTTAAAAAGTTTGTAAATTCATAGATATTTGGTGGCAACCTGATTTTCCTTTAGTCAGTTGAGAATGTGTTACATAAATGAACAAAACCTAGAACAGGATAAATGATATATAGCCTTTGTCTCAGGTTTTGCCAACCATCATGAACATTGCTGAGAATTTTCAGCATTGCTGTTATATATTCACAGAGTACTCATTTGGGGAAAATCTACTCAGAGGCTTATAAGAGAATATTCCACTGCATTGTGTAGGTAGTTTGGGCTGTAAGTCAAATATTAGAAACCACATGTTACAGCAGATTTCATTCTTGCTTCTTAATTTAAAGGAATAAATTTTCTCAAAAGGGAAGGGCAAAACATGGCAAACAACTGCATGTACATGAATATGTTATGCTTGTCTGATTTTTGGAAATGCATCACTTGTGCAAAATCTATGTTAGGAAGTTATTTATCTGACAATAAATTGCTAGTTTTTTAATGCAGTAAACCATTCGTGAACTTACAGTAAATGTCAAGGACTGCTGATTCTGATCGTATTATCTCTGGTCCAGTTGGTCCAAAATATGTTACAGTGCAGGTGAACTGTGCACCAGTGTCATCCTTTGTTGGTTTATATTTTAGGGAAGATTTGATGGTATAGAGTCCACTGGCTTTATCTAGATCAGTTTGTTCATCTATGACAACAGCTTTTAAAAGAAAAGGCATGATTTACACAAGGTTATTTGCAAACAAAAAGTGTAAATTCTAGTGATTCTATTTAGGATATCCAAGTGGAATTAATACTAAGTTTGTGTATGTCTAATCCTAAATTTATTAATTTAAATGGAATAACCAAATAATAATAGAGTTGGAAGGAATGTTGGAGGTCTTCTAGTCCAACCCCTATTCAAGCAGGAGACCCTCTTATCACCAATGTACACAAGCAGATTGATCCCTTAGGATAGGTTTGCATGCAATTTAATTTGCTCTCCATATTCCATTTCCACTGTTTATAGCACCTGGCCTCTGAGGAAAACAGAAGGAATTTCTCTGATTAAATAAGACAAAGTGACAAGAGATATATGTGGAAGACAGAGACTTCAAACAGTAAATAGAGAAGAAAGTAATAAATTTAAAAGTTTTTTTCGCCTTCTCAAACAGAAAACAATGCCTAATATATATTGCAATGGGTCTAAATGTGACAGGTTGAAATAATTTTGGTTTAAAATTTATTGGTTTTTCCAGACAATTGGTTGGATTCAAAGTTTTCAAAGCTGTGCCATTAAAATCAGTGAGATCTGTTAGATTCAATCCTGTTGATTTCATGGGGACATATCTATTTTAAGGTCTATGCTAAACACAGTCAAGTCTGCTTCCAACCCTTGACTTTAGAAAGCAGACTATTAAGCTGCTCACAATGTTGAAGCACTTAGTGGAGCTTCTATACCACATCCAATCCACATCCAAAGAGCTATGGTTTCCATGCAAAAAAAAAAAAAAAAAAAAAAGACAAATAGACAGCTTTAGTGATTCATTTGGTAGCTTCCTAGAGAGATTTGTTTGACATGGGTATAGGTCATAAAAGATAGAGGAGCAGGTGAACTTTGATAGGAGGATAAGAAATGCGGGTCATCTCCTTCAGAATGGAATGGCTTTATGACTTCATCCCTGCAGACTAAAGTGTCAGTTACTTTCAGTTATCAGTTATCAGAGTGAAGATGCCTTCCTAGAGGTGAGCTGCTCTTCAGCAGAGCTCCTGGACTCTGGGGAAGCTTTCCTCATTTGGAGCCAACTCTTAGAGAGGTAAGTGACATTGAATATTTGGGTTATATTTAAGGTAGAAGTGAGGCTGAGAGCATTAGGGCAGGGATGAGAATGATGATGAAAGGGTGAGAAATAGGCTGAGAATTTTGGTAAGGTTGAGAGTCAGTGTCAGGATCAGGTGAAGGGGAGGGGGACAAAGAGGTAGAGCAAGATGGGTAGGAGGGGAAGGGGACAGGATAAAGAGGAGAGGGAAGGGAGGGGAGAAGAATGAAGAAGAATGGACCTGATAGGAAATGGGAGGAGAGGGGTACCAGACAGGAAGAGAAGGGAGGCAGAAATGATAATGCCTTTATTACTTCATTGAGGCAGATAAGAAAGAGCTAAGAAAGAGGGAGGGAGAGGGAAAATGGAGGAGGGGAGGAGAGGGAGAGAGAGATAGGGAAGATGAATGGATGGAGGACAAAGAGGTACAGTGGGCCAGAGTGGAATAGCAAGAGGGCAGGGGAGAAGAGTAGAGGAATGGGACAGAGAGTAGAAAGATGAGTAAGAGTGAATGAGGGGGGATTGTAATATTTTCATGATTTCATCCATGCAGATTATCAAAGGTAGTGACCGAGCAAGGAAGAGTGAGGATAAGGGAAATGGATAGGAAAGGGGCAGAGACAGTAGGGGAGGGGAATAAGTAGGCAGAAGGAGACAAATAGGTGGAGGGGAAGAGAGGAGAAGGCAGAAGTGAGGCAGGGATAGAAGAACTGAGGGGGAAAGCAAGGACAATGGGATGTGGAGGTGGACAGGAAGGGGCAAGGCAGTGTGACAGCGACGAGCAGGGATATGAGCAGGGGAATTTGGAGGAGAGGGATGTAGAGAAGAGCAGTAGGGGCAAGGGCAGGGAAATAAAATTAGATTAGAATTAGAATAGAATTAAAAAATAAATGAATAGGATAGGATAGGATAGGATAGGATAGGATAGGATAGGATAGGATAGGATAGGATAGGATAGGACAGGACAGGATAGGACAGGACAGGTAAGATAGGAGTTAGAATTACAGTAGAATAAATGTAGAATTGAATTAGATTACAAGAGAATTAAAACAAAAAAGAATAAGAATTAGAATACAATTAGAATTAGAATAGAACAAATGAAGAATTGAAACAGATTAGAAGAAAATTGGAATAGAATAGAATAAGAACTAGACTACAATTAGAATAGTTTTAGAATTAGAACAGAACGAATTAAAAGTAAAAATAGAATTACAATTTGAAAGAATTACAATTCAAGTAGAATTAGAGCAGAATTTGAACAGAACAGAATTAGAATGTGAATAGAATTTGAATTAGAATAGAAATAGAATATAATTAGAATTAGAAAAGAATTAGAATAGTATAGATTTAGAATAAAATAGAATTAGACCAAAATTAAAATTGGAATAGAACAGAATTAGATTAAAATAGATTTAGAATAAGAATAGAATTATAGCTAGAATAACATTAGAATATAATTAGAATTATAGAATTAGAATTTGAACAGAATTAGAATATAAAAGAATTAGAAAGCATAAAACAGAATTAAAATTAAAAGAATAAGAATTAGAATAGAATTATATATTAGAATTTGAACAGAATTAAAATAGAATAGAACAGAATTAGAATCAGAATCACATTAGAAAAAAATTGGAACTATAGAATAAATAAAAGTATGTATAAACAATATATAGTTGTTTCAGGATCAATTTGAGTTTTATACTGCACTTGTTTTTTTTATACTGCTTTGTTTATGAATGCATGATGCAATAAAAGTATGGCTTATCAGCTGGCTCATCACAAGAATTTGAAGCTGGTTTGGACTGAGAGGGAGTGATTGGTCCCAAATCAGCTTGTTAGTTTTGGGCCTAAGGAGGCCTAAAATTAAAGGGTTCTCATTCAGCACTTAATGACTATATCATACTGGCTCCTAGATAACAGTTAAAGAACTACCTTAAATTGTGTCAATAATTATTATTTTTAAAAATTGATAAAAATACAATAAAATCCAACCATCATTGTTTACTATGTTAATTGCAGCATTGTTAACAAGGCTAATGATGTTCATGCTTAAAATAACTTTAAACTGATAGGTGAAGATAAACAAACATGTATGCAATAACATCTAGATACAAAATCTTACCTTCTTCAGCATGTTGCAAAATAGCTCCATTCTTAAACCATGTTATGTTTCCTGCAGGATAACCATCTCTTGTAATACATTCCCCAAGCTAAGAATTCAAATACACAATTTGGTTATGGATTTCATCTTACTGGACATTGCATATTCTTTTGTTCATAATAGATAGCCTTCACTTAACCAAGTTTTTTCAGTGACTGTTCAAAGTTATGATAGCATTGAACTATTGGTAGGCACATATCAAGTCCTTGAAATTATGACCATTGAGCACCTCCAAGGCCATGTGATCAAAATTAGAATGACCACTTGCATTTACAACAGAAGGATGTGCTTCAACTTCTCATCCACCTATCTCTTCATCTATGTCCTGCGTTCTGCTACTCTTGCCACCAAGGGCCAGTCCAGGTCCATCTCAGCAGCAGGAGGAGGAAAAAGATATCAAAGATATATTTGTGGCAGGGTGACAAACTAAGGATGATGGGTTGGCAGGAGCAGCAAAGTACAAAGTGCTGGGGGTAGCAGAGACCAGAACATTTAGGGCAGCGAAGTAGGGGGATCCAAGTTAAACCAAAAGCCGGAGATGGGTGAGTGCGATAGGCATGTGTGGGGAACAGTTTAAAGCAGAGTGAAGGAAGGAGAAGTGGGAGGTCCTAGCGTAATAACTGCAACCAAGACTGCTGAAATTGCCATCACTAAATGATGTGGTCACGTCATTTTTCATCTAACAACTACATCACTCGATAGTGGAAATTCTGGTCCCAGTTAGGTCATCAAGTAAGGACTACCTGTATACTTAAAGTTATTATTTTCAACACATCTATTTTTGTACATTTGTCAACGTTGCTAACATGGGATGTTTTTGCTTTGACAATAGTTAGAGATGCATTTTCTTCTTATATTTTACTTTTAGAGTTAGATGATGCTGGGGGGGGGATGAATGTGCATGGGAGTTTAGTTAGACATAACAATACTGTATCTAGTGTGAGAACTAAGGTTTTTGAAATAAGAGATGATAAGAATTGGCGGGTTGGAGAACTGGAGGGAAAGTCTGCATTTCAAACTAATTGGGGAATGTGATTTATGACTGTAAATTAGAGGAGGGAATTGTGCTTTGACATTATGTGCTCAGGGGAGGGAAATTCAGATTTTGGCTTTGGCTATGTAAGTGCCGATGCTATGCGTCTCGAATAAAGATTCTTTAAGGTAAACAATGCCTCGAACTCTTTGAAGAGTTTCATCTGTTGGGAACCATGACAATATGATTATAAAAGAAGCTTTCCTCACAAGGAGGGATGGTAGTAACTGTGCTGCAAATGATGTGCTTTTCTTGCAGTTACATTTCCAATATACTAGTATAGGATTCACACTAAATTGCTCTGCTGTGCCTTACATATGGGATGTCTGAAGACTTTCCTGTTACATTTTTTGTCTTGCAAGTCTACATTTCATTAAGCTTTTAAATCAATTGTTGTATACCCCATTATTTAGCCTTAGTGTAGCTACTAGAACATGGATACACTATGAAAGAAATATAAGAAATTAAAGAATGTTAGATACAAGGATAAATTATTTGAAATAATCAAATAAATGTACCGTATATTCCGGTGTATAAGGCGACCCAGCGTATAAGACGACCCCCAACTTCGGCGCCGAGTCGCATGCCTAGAAAGTCATCTTATATGCCGGAAACTACTGTTATTTCCGGCATATAAGACGACTCGGTGTATAAGACGACCTCCGACTTCGGTGCTGATTTCAATGCTTTCGAAAGTCGTCTTATACGCCGAAAAGTATGGTAGATATCATTGGGCTATAAAGAAAATCCTGCATGAAATTAAAAAATAAATACATAAGATATCTATTAAACCATAATACATGTAGTCCTTGACCTACGACCACATTGGGACTGGAATTTTGGTCATTAAGTGATGCATCATATGACTAAATTCAATTATATGTTCCCTTTTACTGTAGTTGATAGGCAAATCACCATGGTGGTTAAGCAAACTGCATGGTTGTTAAGTAAATCACATAGTTGTTAAGCAAGTGCTGCTTCCCTAGTTGACTTTGCTTCTTGGAAGTTGGCTGGGTAGGTAGCAAATTTTGACCACAAGAAACTGCAACCACTGTAAATAAGAGCCAGTTGCCAAAATTGTGATCATGTGACTGTGTGATGATTGCAACTTTGAGGATGGGTCATAGGTCACTTTTTCCAAGGCACCTGTAACTTTGAACTGTTATTAAATGAATGGCCATAGGTCGAGGACTACCTATTATTATACCTAGGAAGGGAAGGTGGTGATAGCACAACTGTTTCTATGTATAAATTCCACAAATAAAGCTATGGAATCTGTATAAAGGTTTTGATTGCAAAATGTAGCAAATAATTCCACTTGAAATGTTTTCCTAATAAAATATATTTTGAGCATCTTCCTTACAGGAAAGAGCTACCTTAGGTTTAGCAGCAACTTATTCCATAAATAGGTTTCACTATGCAGAAAGCTGTATTTATTTACAATCTGTAAAATGTGGCCAATTTTATGTAGAATGCAGTCTGCCTTTAAAGCCTTTTTTATTTTTTTAAAAAGCTTCTTTTTTATGGTTACCATATATGCCGGCGTACAAGGCGACCCGGCGTATAAGACGACCCTCGTCTTTATCGCCGGACCGCATTCTTAGAACGTCATTTTATATGCCAGAAACTACCAGTATTTCCGGCGTATAAGACGACTCAGCGTATAAGACGACCCCCGTCTTTGGCGCCGATTTCAGCGCTCGTGGAAGTCGCCTTATACGCCGGCATTTATAGTACATTGTTTTCTGTTTGCTGGCTGATGAGCTATGTAGGATGGGAGGATCTAATGCTAATGCTTTTCTG